GACCGCCAGTTACAAGTGTTTTAGTTGCAAAGGCAAGAAAGATGATGCTTCAGGAGAATAAAGTGAAGAAGATATATGTTCATCATCGATAAATTTAGATGAGGCACTATAAAAAGGTTCTTAAGCAGCAGCGAGGGGTGAAATTCTAGAAAAGCCAAGCAAGCACAGAAGAGGGAACAAGGGAACTATACTATGATGTTTTTAGATGTCAATTGCAGTATTTATTGATAAGATTATGAATGTGAGAAATGAAGGCTTAATACCATGCTTCAGGGCCTTTTTTGTTTCCATAAAGTTACAACCATCTTCATTCTTTTATGTGTTAGGATTTAGCTTTTTGAAGTAATTTTTGATCTTTCAGTAAAAAAGTGGCTGCACATGGGCAAATTGTTCAGGTGATTAGCAGTGTTATTGTAATGGAAATCCTGAAGTGCTTAATGGGTGGGTCCTGCTTAGCCTTAAACTATCAGAAAGATTAGGGCAAATGAGATTACATCCCCAGATAAGATGTGTTGTATCCTGCTTTGCTTTTCCTGTGTGATATGGGCTTCCTATGTGGGATCATTTGCAACTTTCATTTATTTATCTAATTTCCCATTGTTGAAGGAACCTTAAATATTTGTTAAGCTGTTGGTTTTCTTCCTTGTCTGCATGTGAATTTTTTGGCTATGCTTTTTTCATTTTACTACAGTTTGATTCTTACAGATTATAGGAAAAATTTTGTATTTGTACTGTCGTGTGGAATACACATTCTGTGAACCTTTCTGAGCAAGTCATCTATGACCTGGTTGCCGGCAGTCAAGGTGAAACTGAATGCGGTCACCCTGCCAGTGGTCCCTTTCAGTCCTGTGTTCCTAGGCTCAGCCTCTTCAAAGGCTGCTGTAATTAGATCTTCAGATGGAAAAGAGAGAAAAGGAGTTGTGATTCTCAGGGTCACAAGGTCTCTAAGCTGCTGATCTGTAATGCTCCTCCAGATTCAGGTTTTATGTGTGTATTCCCCACTCAGCATGCAACAAGCTGTAGAGTTGAATCTCCAGAGCTCAGATGTTCAGCCTACTCTGTGGCTGCCTGCCCTTAAGTTTGTATCTACCCAGAAGAGTTGGGTAGAAATAATTGAACTCGGTGACACGCAGCCCAGAATGTCCACATGATCAGGGTGAGCATGCTACCAGCCTAGGTACTGCAGTGGGGCAGTTAGGGGCCAGCTATCAAACTTCTCTTTTCTTTTGTAGTGATTCTAGTGGTCTGAGCTCCTGGATCTATCTAGCCAGAGGAACCATAACACTGTGCTAGTACATATGAAGTAACAACTCTGATCAGAAAGCAGAAATGGTGGGGAGAGTAAAGGGGGCAGTGCCAAAGCAGAATTAGCCAAAGGCTTCTTGACTCCCTGTTGCAGCTGAGTTGTATTAGACATATAGGCTGTGCCTGACTAGGGGAGTTGGGACTTTTCCCTGGCTGCAGGAGTTAGTGTACCTCCCAACCAAGTCATTATTCCTTTTTTGTCTTCCCCCATCAAAGCTACCGCCCTGCCCTCCTGCTTACATGCACAGATAGGCAAACAGGCACTGGTAGTAGACTCCAGAACGTGCTGTTGTGGACAGCCAATGGCAAAGAGGTTTGTGTGACCACTGGCATGTAGGGCACTGACTAATTTTTGGGTGGGGAAATAGTCTCTTCCTTAGGTTGTCCACTTAAGTTCAACTTACGTTCACCTACCTTGAGGAATTAGGTTCAGTGTATTGTAATAAAATAGATGAGAAAATGCTGTCACTTCATTTCTTATATTATACTTTCAAGAGAAATGTTCAAGTGTATGTTACAGATCAGTAACATATACTTGTTTTCATAAAACATTTGTAAAACAAGAAACACCACTTACAAATATGAATAAGGTTAGATATTAGGGATACCTAGAAGGAAGCAATGAAGTTCCAGAGCTGTCAAACCAATGAGACCCTGACGTTTTTCCCTAAGACAGCTAGCTCCATTTACTGAGTGTACTTCAAACATTTCACCTTGAGTTCTGTAAGGTGAATGATTGCTTACAGTGAAACTACAGGTCTGAAAGATTCCTGGATTTCCATTTCATGTACTTACATATAGGTAAGACCTCAAGAGACATTCAAGATCTAGATGAATTCTTAGAGATAGAATTGTATATGCTTAAAATATCTGTCCAGACATTATGCCTAAAATTTTCTAAATCTTTCTAAATCTTTGCTCTGCTACGATATCCTGTGTTCTTACTCCATCTTTTTTTCTATTTTACAAATTTCATTCATTTATTCTTTTGTCATAAGTTATACTTTCTGAAGTTTTTAGCATTTTGATTCCTCTTCAGCATTTTAGGTTTTCTATATCCTTAGAGAAGTCCAGCACTTGGGTACATTATTATAGCTGTGGGGTTTATAAGTGACAAATAGAAGGCCATCTTTTGCTATTAGGCTGCCTTCTTAGTACTAGATAAAGCAATAGCTTTGAATTAACATAAGAACTGAATTACTATCTTTGCAATAGTTTGATTTTTACTGCTGATTACTCAGGTTATTCACCATGTTGTACCAAGACAAAAGCTCAAAACTTCTGTCGCCAGTTGTCCAATTTAAAATTTTGGTTTTGGATCACATCTTTATCTATGCTCACTAATTAGAGAAGTCGTATTATACTTCACTGAAAGAGATGAGTGGCAACATCTCTAGCCCATGAAGAGCTTACCACCTCTTCATGCCATTTGAAATATTTTTCTGCATTTTTAAGTATGAAAAACTACTGTCTTTCAAGCTTAATGAGGCAGCTATCTGCAAGAAGCTGTGTTACAGGATGGAATGTTGTGTCACTGTTTTGGAAATGTTGTATGTGTCATTTAGACCAGTGGCTGCTACAAGCAATAGGAAATGAGTGTTATATTAATGACCATATTTGACAGCCTGTGTCCATAATCTGTTTTTCACTGACTTTTCCTTTTTACGCCAACAATTATGTTCTCATCTGGAAAAATCAGACTAACGCAATTTTCCAAAAGCTATTAACAAGGCTTTTAATATTAAAATGGCTATATATCCTAATGTGCCATCCCGAAACTAACTTTGTGTTGTGGTCATGAAATGAGGTACAGTTAGGGTGTATTCTGGAGTTGCAGAGCATGGAGGAAAGCCTACATGCTTCAGGAAGCCTAGAGGTTCACTCAGCATATGGCACTCTTTTCACTGAATTTCTACCGGCATCTTCTGGGGTGATGTTTGCACTGAAGCTTTCTAAAGTTGGTGGAAATATAGTAAACACTTGTCCGATTGCAATTTTGTAATATTTGTGTGATTGTTGCTTCTTGAAGGACCTGATGAACTGTGGGAACCTGCATATTCGTCTGCTTTTTGTTCTGTTTGTGACTCAAGGTAGCTTAGACCAGTATTATTTGATAGTCAAAAACTAGCAACTACAAAACCTGGATCTTTATTCACGCATGGCACAGCCAATATGTTCTTCCAGCTAAACTCCCATATGTAACTCTTAACTAGTTATTCACAACCATGATTTAAAAAAAACCACCTAAACCATTAGACTATGTCACAGAGTTCCATGTATAAAAGCCATTGTGACTTCCTCAGAACTTTATAAAGTCCTCTGCAATCCACAGATTTCATAAGTTTATATGATGATTCCCCTACATCCTTCAAGATAATTACATGGCTACAGAATTTTCAGAGGGAAACTTACCACTGATTTTTTGGACTGAGCCAATGAATGAACTTTAAATATCTTTTTTCAGTGAAGGTTTGTTGCAGAGTAAATGTCCTCTGAGATCCGTAATCCAATTTTTACAAATTTTTCCCTAGAACAGCAGAACCGTTACCTTTTAATTCTAGATGTACGTGTCTTTCAAAAATATCTCCTGAAATTAGCTGTGTTCCTTTGGTTTCACTATGATAAGAGACATTAACAAATACCCTTTGTTCCATTTTAGCTCTGTTACTGTTGTATTTCATTTGAATCCAAGTTAAATACAAGTTTTTATTAGCAGATTTATGTGGAAGTATAAGCATTTACATGTGCACCAACATTCAGCCAGTCTAAGGCAGCTGTATCATCTTTTATTTTTACGAAGACACTGTACTATACCTGGAAAATGAACATTTAGTGGTGTAAGTTGGATACTAAACTTCTAAAGCTTTGGCAAAATGTTTTGATGAACTGAAACCAAAGCTCTGCCTCACTGCAGCTCTACCTTTCCACTAGATTCCAGTAATTCAGTCATGCATCCTTCCACTTCTTTTTCATACCAATCACTATTTAAAAAAATAATTTCCTTTACCAATTAAATGAGTTGAACTCTGTTATAGATATAAACATTAATATATAAATAGGTAGATACTGTCTCCCACTTGGTGACCAGAAATCCAAAGTATCTTAAAAAGCAAATAATTAATTATTTATAATTATTTTCTAACAAATTATGAAAGAAAAAAAACCTGTGTTCATGTCCATGTGGAAAAAAGAAACCAAACCCACAAAAACACCTATTGTTCAAAATGGATAATATAATCCATGAAGTAACATAGATCATTGGAGAATACATTGCTGGGTAACATAGTAGTGTTTGCCATCACTAAATGCAGCCTCCCTGGTAGCATTTTAATTTTCAGTCCTACTTATGCGTTGAAATCATCAAATAATTGTCACTTTAGCACCCTTCAATGATTTCTAATCAAACATGGAAAAGAAACCTAAACAAAGAAAACTCCTCCATTCTTCATAGGAGAGGGGAGGAAGTTTATTTTTTTCACTATTAACTCATTGTAATTTTTTGCATACTATTTTAGTTAGAATGAATAGGTCTTTCTATGCTGCATTTTGGTTTTACATATCAAACACCTGGAATTATCACATTAATTAGTACAGACAAGTCTGCTTTTAATTCAGTCCATCTTTATTTTGTCATACATATCCTTGTTTTATCCTTACTTTCTTCTAATTTACATAATCACAAGGTTTTGAATGAATGTTGCATAATAATAATTTGTTTTAATAAAATTTATTTTAAGTAGTTTTTATTACACATTTAAGAGCTGCAGTGTATGTACAAAGGAAATGGTGTTTTGCCAGTGGATGTTACTTCTCATCTGTTTTATCTCTAGTACTACTTCTTATGTCCATATAAAGGGTTTTTTTCTTAGTGCTTTCTAAAATATGATTAAAAATATCATTAAAGGGATTAAAACTAGTTGGTTATTTATTTTAGGAACACTGACAAGATGTTTTAAAAATTGTCTTTATATATACTTGTTAATAACTTTCAATAACTGCAAGACAATAGTGCAGTTTTTCAAAGACTTAAGATAGGGCTAGCGTTTTCTATCTATATTTGAGACAGAGAAAAACTTGGTAATTTCAAATTCTTTCAAAGTTGTTACAGTACAATGTTATTTTTAAATAGACAGAGGGAAAAATGCAGGAGAAGGCTCAGGACAAGCTGTACTGATTTTCTGAGCCACAGAAAAATGTAATTTAAACTTTGCATTTAGACAGCTGTTCAAAAACGTTGGTTCAATTTGATTTCTCCCAGTCATTGCGAGCTTTCATATTTTGCCTGGAGGAAAAGTAAAATCTCATATTTAGAATGTAAGGCTTGGATTCTGTTAAGTTTCATCAGCACTGATTTGTCACACATCTTTCGACATCTATCTTTCTCTTTGTGATCAAATCTCTGTGCAAAATGCATAAAGTTGGGGTGAGGAGGACAATAACTATAATATGGTAAACTAGCTAGCACTTTTTGAAGTTTTATGAATGATTTTTTCCTGTGAAGGTGCTTGGACTTCCTGGGAGCTGTCATTTTCTGGGAGCACATGTGGTTTCTAAGACAATGCATAGTGAACAAACCAGGACAGGCTATAGTGTATGGTAATTATAAAAAGAGAATCTCCAAATATTTCTGTACCTCTGATGGAAAAGTATGAAAAACCCTGATCTGATTATATTGTGCAAGGTGTTTCAGGGCAGTTTTCTCTAAGTTGCTATATGGATATTCAGCAGGAATGCTTTCATGTGTACAGAAGGCAAAAATGTACCTGAGATTCTGGCACTGCCCTTGTTTTCCAAAAATATGCAAAATCACTAACATTGAAGAAGTCTAACAGGAGATCAGTAACAAACTGAAACAAACATCTTGGTTACACATGTGTGTATAGGCATTATGAAGACATGTTGAGATTGTTTCCTACTACTGCAGTAATGTCTTATCAAGAAATCATGTAGGTGTTGTATAATAAGTTGCCTTTTTCAGTGTTGTCCTTCCCCTCCACCCTTCTGTTTCAGTTCACGTGACAGGACTTTGTACTCATTTACTGATAGTAAGTGCACAGCCATGTTGTCTGAAAATTAGAATCAGAAACTGAAACAATTCCGTGCTGCAAGGTAAAATGTCCTTTCTGCCCCAAAGTCTGTCATTTATGTATAGTTTAATTGTAAACATTGAGGTAATGTGTATTTGGAGTTCATACTTTTTCACAGCTCAAATTAAAATCTTCATGGCAGGAAATTAGCAATCACAAGAAATAATAACATATTCAGTGTTGTCTTTTTCTCATTAACCTAATGCAATGTATTTTTTATAAGAAAGAAGAAAAAGTTGCTAATACCGTCTAGTGTTGTCTATGAGATACTATCAACTTATAGTGGCAAATTATTTTGTAACCTAATGGACTTTATTATTAGGTATTGCAATGGAGTAAACATTCCCTGCCTACAACAGGTTAAGAGGAGCATAAGCATTGAATTGTGAAAGCATTTTGAACAAAAAGAAAGGAGGTTGTTTATAAACTAGAAGATTTTCAGCTGTGCAGCAGTGTTTTTTTCATAGCACTTAAGGTCTAGTTGTTTAAAAAGTAATGTTAAAAGTGTATGTAATTTTGATTATGTAGTCTGTTTAAAGAATCAAATGGAAATGAATTGTTGAATAGTTTTGGAGGGGAGTGGGTTCTGAAATAAGCTTGTAGTTTTGAAGTGACTCCAGTTTGGGTGCAGTATATGTAATCTGACAAAATCCATTCAATTCAAAATTGAAAGGCTACAAGACTTAACTGTAACTTTCAATGAGTTATTAAATAAATCTAATATTTTTCTTTGTAACCTCATACACATCCAACCTGTAAACTGGGGATAAATACAACTGCTGAGGGGACAGTATCTATAAGAGGATCTCTCTGTCTCTGAGACAGAGGATGATGGCAAGGAATAATAGAGAAAGAGAAAAGGTAAGGAAAAAATAATCACTTCTGGACAGGTTATATCTGCCAGGCTTAAACAGAAAAACTGCATTTGGGCAACCATGCTGAGACAAGAAGAAGGAAGATGAAAGAGAAGCCTGTTTAACCAAAACAAGTGTTTGAACAGAATCTGACCACAAATATTGGTTGCTATGCAGTTTTGTAATGGCTCGTTAATAATATGGATTCCACACATCCTGTTTTCTCACAAACATATATTTTGCTTCTGCCCCTAGGGTGCTCTCCAGGTGGATTTTGGTAAGTGCAGACCTGTGTTAAAGCCTGTCAGACCAGCAGCCGAGGCTGCTTTAACACGGGGAGAGCCAGAGTCACCAATAGGGAGCAGCGTGTACTGCTGGGAGGTGGAAGAGCCTGTGCTGTGAGGAAGGAAGTCATGGAGGAGACAGAGAGACGCAGCAGCATCCAGAGTAGTGATTAATGCTGGAGTGGCAGTGGGAATAGCAGTTCCTGGGCAAGCAGAATTGGAGGAGTTGAGCCTCTGCATCCAGAAGGTATTCAACCTGAGTTTAGATCGATGGCACGTTGGAATGGGATTCTTCAGCAGGAAGGGATTTGGAATGGGGTAGGGCATGGTTTAGTAAGATAAGGGTTGGAGAGAGTTTGTGCGATGGCTTGTTGATTTTATGAGCAGAAGTTTGGGGATGAAATAAAGGAATGAAATAAAATTAGTTGAGAATGAGAGGAGGAAGACAGGACATTTGAGATGGCTTTTTAAGAAGTATTTAACAAGAATTTTGTCTACAGCACTCTAGTCCATGAACACACAAGATTGAACTGCTTCAGGTATGCAATGACAATGGTTTGGGCTTTTTGGCATCCTGGACAAATGTTTTAAATTTTACCTAGAAATGGCCTCATCTTTTTTTCTACAATGCTAAAGAATCTGTTGATCAGCCATAATCATAAGGAGATCTTAGGGTATGGAGCTCAGACAGATCTGTTTTCCTCTGATATTACTAGCCAGAGTAGTGTTTGTATGGTGGTGTATGCAAACACACTTCCTGCAGGAATCCATAGTACTATAAAATTTAATTAGAAGTCTAAGTCAGTAATGCTACTTTTATCTTCTTTCTTTCTTTCTGTTTGTTGTTTATATTCTGCACTGCTGACAGGACTGACAACTATGATGAAGAAAATTAGAAGCTATTGACATGGATTAGTAATTTACGAAACACTCTTAGCATCACATCTCTAATTCATATATTATTCTAATAGACAACTGAATATGTTGTCTAGTATAGCAATTGTCTAATAATAGCACTAAAGTATTAGTCCTGAAAAAATGCATTTCTGACAAAGGAATTCTTTCTCACTGATGAACAGAATTCATCCTTTAAAAACATAAGGTTGTGTTGTACCTGAAGGCACAAAGCAAAGGAAAATGTCTGTTCTTAACAGCTTATTTAAAAAGCATTCTGATACAATTGAAAAAGCATGTTATTTGCTTCAGGAATACTTGCAGCGTGCTTCAGTCCAGGCCAAAAGATAATGAGACCCCTGAAGCTATTATTGAGAAACTTTCAAATGTTAAATGGAAGCTAATGCTGGCATATCATAGGAAAAGGTGTGCCACAAGAAAATGGAAAAATGCCTTTTCTGAATATTTTTTTTATTTCTTTATGATCTTAAAATGTCATACAAAATAAGGTGAAAATGAAGAGAATTGCTATAGTTTTGAGCTGATGATAATTTTCATTTTGTTGTGGTGGGGTTTGGCCTCTTAGCTCCTATGTGCAAAGGAATGGTGTTCTGTTTTAACAGCAAGAATTTACAAGTTTCATCGAGTTCCTTTGAAAGTGAGGAAGAAAGATTAGAGAAAGGGTAAGGGATGAAGGGAGAGAAAGAACAAGTTTTCTACTTACACAGGGCAGAAGGAATCTGAATACCTCTGGCTTAAATTGCTGATTTTCCTGTATTGCTGTAATACAACATATGCATTTCTCCACTGTTTGTTCGGGGTATTTTTATTTTCTGTCAGACTCTGAAGACCCACTTAGCCTCCTCTTGTAGGCAGATATTTTTAGTCTTAGAATGATTTACTATTTTAGATATCCTTCATTTTAAGACTTTCATTTTAATTGTTGTCTAATCCTATGATGTTTAAATTCTATCCCTCAAATATTTTGCCAAGCTAAGTATACTCACAATTGTGTTTTTTAATTAATGGGAGAGTCAGTTACTCCTTTCTATGTTTATTGAAATTATTAAATTATCAAATCCTTTGAATTGGGATAAAAAGTTGTTTCATGTATACATCTTATTTGGTAAATATCTTTGCCCTTTGGCTGGCACATTTTTAGCAGACTCTGATATGTATAGTTTGCAACCAGGCAGCTATTTAGCCACTATGCAGCTCATAGTCCTTCTTTTCCTGATTGTACAAGTGTTCTTTCTAGGATAAATATTTTTCCTGGTTTGTATGACCTCCTAACTTTATGTTCCTTACATATTATTTTCAAATATGTTTTGAAATAATTGTATTTCATTTTAAACCCTTTTGTACTTTTATTGTTTAGTGCATAATGCTAGTGGAGTATCTCTTCATTAAAGCTGGCTAGAAAATTACTTACCCTCCTACTTTCCTCCCTCCCCCATATTTCTGAAGCTCTTTTACCATCATGTTAATTGGGGAAAAATAAAACTGATGAATGGATAATTCTATTATCTTCTGATTTAGCATTGAGTCCAAAAACTTGGGTAGTTTGGGGTTAATCTTTTAACTCTGTTCAAAATAATACAGTAAAAATATTTCTCAGCCCAAAAGAACAACAAAAGTGATTTGGTTTCACCTCTTAAATGCCAAACATTTTATGGTGTAAAAGTAAAGGAGAATGATTTAATTTTTAAATTACTACTTTAAAAAAATCAAAAAAACCCACAACTTTTTTGTTGTTGTTTAAAATCCTTTCTTTTTCCTGCTAGGAAGATTTTTGTCAAAAAAATTCCAAATAATTTGTTGTGGAACACATTCATGACTATTTGTAGAATGAGGACACACCATTCCCTGAATATTAGTTGTAGGACAAAAGTACCATAAACCAGATTTTCCGGTTTTAGAAACTGTGAAGAAGGAGCTTGGTCTTCAATAAGCCACCTCACTTGTTTATTTTTAATATCTCTTACCCATGCAAATTAAGGAGAAGCTGCTTGTTTATGTCTTGTGAGCTTCCTGCTTACAGAGGCACCACCAGAAGTCAGTTGGTCTCAAATTGAATTATTTTTTACTTGAAAAGCTTTACCATTTCTCCCCCTGGTAAAAAGTTCACTTTTAGATTAAAGATGAATTGGATCACAGCAAAGAAAGTTTTGGCTACTGGTAATCAATGAAAGTAATTTGCCATCGGATCCATTTATCCTGTTTCATTTTAAATGGGTGGGTTGTCCCTGGCTAACAGCCAAGCACTCACACAGCTTCTCACTCACTTCTTCCTCCCTTCCCTAGGGAGATGGGGAAAAAATTTGTAGGAATGGGAGTGAGAAAACTCATGGTTTGAAATAAAGACAGGAAAATCACTGTCATGGGCAAAACCACTGAGGGATTTTAACTTAATTTATTGCTAAGTAGCATAAATATTTAATTGATTGGAGTATTGGGAAACAACAACAACAACAAAGAAGGACAACCATTTAGTCTTGCAGGAAAACCACATTTCTTTCCACTTTCCCAGTCTCAGCTTCAGATTCCTCTCTTTCACCTTCCTAATTTCCACACCTTCACTCCAGACATCTCCTCCTGCTGTGTTACTGCTTCACATTGTGCACAGTCCCTTCAAGGAGGCACTGGGTGGCACACAAGGATGAAGTCAGTGCTTAGCTGACTTTCCCTCTGTCACTATTTGTTGCTCCACAGGCCACAGTCCCTTTGGGGACATACCTGATCCAGTGTGGAACACCTCCCACTGCTCTGGCCTTCTTGTTCCTTCTTCCTCCTCCTCTCTCTCTGCTCCCCACAACCCTTCTCTCTGTGTTCCTTGCCCCCAGTATTTTTTGCCTTTTCTTAAAGGTTTCCCCAAGGTGTCACCGGCTTGGCTGATGGGCTCAGCTGTGTAGTGCAGTGAGCCCATTGCAGAGCTGGCTGAAACTGACTGTGTCCAGCACAGAGCAGCCCCAGGTCTCTTCTCACAAAAACCTCTCCTGGAGTACCACCCTGGCTGCCAAAATGTTGACCTACCTGTTCTCCTCCCTCTTATGTGACAAGACAAGCATGTGCATCACTGTTCTGTGATGAGAATGAATGCATTTCCCTCGGTGTGACGGGAGTCAGGAGAGCATGTGCGATACCTGCGCATGTGAGTAGTGGCACGATCAAAATGTTCACTATCCATGTGAATTGCTGAACGGTATCCATGCAGACTTTTTCTTGTCTTGTGTCAGGAAGTAAAGTGGTTTTAGTTCTGTGACAGGAACCTCATGAAAGAAGTAACAGAATGTAGCAATGACTGGCTACTCACAGGCTGTTTTGGTTGCCTTGTGTGGGTAGCCCATATGCAGAGTAGGCAGGGAGGAGAGTGTGAGCAACAGTCAGGCTGAGCTCACAGTCTGTTGACTGATCACCTCTGACAAGAACTCCCTTGAAATATCATCCAACTTGAGTAACACTAGGGATTGTAATTTCTATTCTGTTAGAACAATGTCAGAGATAAAGTTTATTCCTCTGATCAAACTTGCGATTGTAAGGTAAAAATGTGTTGGCTATAGCTGATTCCAAGCAGAGTATGACCAATATTCCTATAAAATAATCCTTACTGTTGGATGTGATCACTCTTACCTCTTTTGCTTTAGAGTAATGAAAGATGTAAAATGGAATATTCATCAGATTTCTGTGTAATCTGAAAAAGAAAAATACTTAAATGCATCCCTTGGTGGAAAATTTTGCAACTAAAACTCATGAAGAATTGTCCCTAGTTCTCAGTTTTCAGTGGAATTACTCACAGAGTAAGAAACTCTTATACCAGAAAGGTCAATAGAGCACATCATACTAATTGAAAAATGTCATGTTTATTACACAAAGGATTTTTTCATATTTTATGCAGAGCACATACGGGCAAGTCACTATCAGGGTGGGATTTATTTCATGTTACCTTATTCCTTTAATATAAGTCTAGTCTAAACCAGGTGTTTAGGCTTTCTATTCTGTGGAAAAAGGTCATGGGCATCACTTCAAAATTTCATCATACCAATCTTAAGAAGAAATGAATCATCCTTCCAAGATGCCTGTCTCTTCCTAGTAATTAGAGAGGAAGCCTAGATAATTAGCTGAAACTAAATGCCTAACTGAGAGATGAATGAATTCATCTGGATTAGTTTGCACCGAGTACCTATTTCCTCTGGGCCATCTAGGCACTTAACTTCTGCTTTAATAAAATCAATAGTTGCTAAATTAAGCCTTTTTTAAATTTTTCTATCTGGTACAATCTGAACTTAGATACCAACCTTCAGATATGTGCACTATCCCTGTGAAGACAGTGTACTAGTGGAGTGTAGTGTCTCA